CACTGAGGATTAGCACTGCGCGTCCCGACCCACGCTGGATCCGTGCATGGACGATATAGGGACAGCACTTTACGTCCCGACCCACGCTGAACCCGTGCATGGACGATAGGGACAGCACTGTACGTCCCGACCCACGCTGGACCCGTGCATGGGCGATAGGGACAGCCCTGTACGTCCCGACCCACGCTGGACCCGTGGACGATAGGGACAGCACTGTACGTCCCGACCCACGCTGGACCCGTGGGCGATAAGGACAGCACTGTACGTCCCGGCCCATGCTTGATCTGGACACGATGAGGAACAATATTGCACGTCAAGGCCCAGGCTTTATCCGGGGACGATGAGGGTTAGCACTGCACGTCCAGGCCCCAGACTGACCCTGGAACGATGAGGATCGTATGGATATAAGTCGAGAGCTCTCGACGAACTCGCTGCCTGGAGAGTGGCCGGAGAGGCGCGAGGGAACCGTCCTGTGATTGCCTTATGACATGGAGAGGAGGAGAGGGAGGGCGCCGGAGAGTGGGAGAGTAAGAGGGAGAGTAAGAGGGAGAGTAGGAGAGTAGGAGAATGAGAGAGGGAGAGAGTGGGAGAGGAAAAAAGTGGGAGACGGAGAGAGTGGGAGAGTGAGAAAGAGGGATAGGAAGGAGGATGAGAGATGTATAGTGTGAGAATGAACTGTATGAAAGAGAAAGAGGGGAGAGAGGGATAGAGAAGAATGGGACAGTGGGAGAGAGGAAAATGAGAGTGTGGAAGTGTGAAGGAGAGAGTGGGAGAGTCAATGTATGTAATGTCAATGTAAAGAGATGGTAATTAAGTGTTGGGGTAAGAGGAGGCTATTGAAATGAATTGGCAGACGATAAATACATTCAATTCAAGAGAACAAATTTGGGCCCTTTGTGAAGTCGTCTTCGGTTGTGAGTGATTATGAGGTTTTAAGGCCAGCGAGAGGTTATGAGTTAAGAACTTTGTAGAGTGCACGTGAACCATAAGTTATTTTTCAATTAAATCCCGTTATCTTTTCAAGATGCCAGCCCTCATAAAAATCTTGTTGGTTTTTCCACGCTGGTACATCAATAGAGACATGATTTATTTAAACACCGATCATCACCATATTGATCACAAAAATATATGAATGTATTTATGCCCGTAAAGACAGCTCAGATGCCTACATTAACTCAATTCGTTTGTTTTTGAACATTCCTGTTGATCGTTAATAGACAAACCGAAGGACGATGGAATTTCCGAGCTAATCAAATTCATTATACGCGACTATAACTATATTTATATCCTTGTCTCCAGTAATATTCGTGCTTCTTCAAGAATCCCTCAGCATTAGCTCTCCATCCAGGAATAAGTCATCGTTAAATTCAGCAAATTATTAATTATTATCTTGTGCAATTGAGATGAATTTCGTTAGTCATTAACATGTTCAATCATCCTTTATATTTAAATAATTATTTAGAAAATTATTAATTAATAAAAAATTATTAATTAATAATTCATAAAAAATTAATTAGAATAACGCAAACGTGTCTTGCTTGTTCGACAGTTACCCTTTTGTGGGACAAACTAAGCCCTTAAATTCCATCAAATGTCATTTAACTTCATATACAAATTCTTCCAGCGCAATTATCCGGGGAAATTCAAGCCACAGCCTCAGGGTGGCGGGGTGAGGCAGAACAACTGAGGCCATTGAGGCGCAGTGAGGCGTACAGGAGTAACGAGGCACCTCATAATATTGATTGTGAGGCACGGTCGAGGCGTGAAATATGTCGCGCTAACAGAGGTCCTGCGAGGGTGAGGCAGTGAGTGATATGAGGCAGTGAGTGATATGAGGCAGTGAGTGATATGAGACAGTGAGTGATATGAGGCAGTGAGTGATATGAGGCAGTGTGATATGAGGCAGTGAGTGATATGAGGCAGTGAGTGATATGAGGCAGAGAGTGATATGAGACAGTGAGTGATATGAGGCAGTGAGTGATATGAGGCAGTGAGTGATATGAGGCAGTGAGTGATATGAGGCAGTGAGTGATATGAGGCAGAGAGTGATATGAGGCAGTGAGTGATATGAGGCAGTGAGTGATATGAGGCAGTGAGAGATATGAGGCAGTGAGTGATGTGAGGCAGTGAAGCAGTGAGTGAGGCCGCGTAGGAGACAGGAATGAGAGCCGTGAGTCAAAAATACGGGGTGAATGAAAATATGAATGATGTAATTGATCGTGAGTAACGGAGAGATAAGCGAGTGGCGAGCGAATGGGAGGAAATTTAATTAATTGAGTGAGGTAGCAAAAGAGTGTGAGCAAAAACCGAATTGAGTGAAGTATCGAGCGACAGTGAGCAAAGAAATGAATATCATGAGTGAGGTTGTAAATTAGTGATATTTATTAAAAAGTGCATGGAAATTAGTGATAGTGAGGCGCATGGATAGTGTGTGCTTTGAGTAATTTGCAATGCTACTTATACCCACTTCATTTAAAGTATTCTTCATTGATGATGAACCTCTCCACTATGCATATCCCATCACGGTCAATACGACAATTTTGTAAGGCACACGAACAATCTAACACCAATTTATTTAATTTAACATTTACTTGTTCTAGTTGAGCTCTTGCCCACAATTTTCGTCCTGCACTGTAGGTTCGAAATGCACCTCGCGGCGGTAATCACTTTAACTCATGCTAGTGATAATAGGAAAATTATGTCTTGTTAAAACGGAAAAACAGTTCTGGAAAGATCCGCACTTTACTTCACTCAAAATTACAACTAAACCGTGACCATTAGTGGCCACACAAAAGCCGGCCGCGATTCCTCATAGGGATTAAGCATCACAAGATCCAAGCGTCAGTTCATCTAGTTCATAAGGAAATTAAACCCACATAATTGCTTAATATATTTATTGATGTATTTTCATTGGATTTCAGAATTATGACCAAGTAAAAATCTAATCACTGTAACAATTTCTATTCACAACCACGCATACGAACCTAATAATAATTACAACTTTCATACAATGATAATGCACAAAATTAAAGTATTACAGTGGCGAATATTGTTACAACAAAGATGAAGCTGAACGCATTTATAATGGTAACTCTAGAGGAAGGGAATCACTAAAACAGCTCAAAGTAACTGAAACCCGACGAGATCTCAGGAAAATAGCCATCATCTGAATTGTGCGTAACAAACTAGAGGTTGTTCAAACATAATAACTTGAACTCGTTCGATAACTTAACTCAACAGATGAATAATGGTTCGGCTACTTCTATTCATTTGAGCGAGGTAGTGAACTGTAACATTTTCATGGGCTACCTCAACCTTCCGAAGCCTCGAACAAACTTCTTTTCGCCACCAGCGATGCGTAGAAAACTTCAACATGTCGCTAGTGTACGTAATTAATACAGGAAAAATCCAACTCTCCGTATCGCGTAGGTGGCAAGACAGTGCAGGACTGAAGGATGTTTCCGGCGTGTCGAGAGTGTCGATAACGAGATAACGAAGGCGTTTAATGCTCAAGCTTCAACTCGGTGTTATAATTTCAAAACGGAAATACAAAATTAAGCACATTCGACATGAGAAAGTTTAAAATCATCTTATAAGGAAAACCCTATTTTCATCAACGTCGGTATTGTAAGTATAGGATTAAATATGATTATAATGCTGCAGCAAATTGAAATGCATCTTTCAGTTCAAATCTCATTCATTATATTTCATCAATTAACTGAACCATTTCACTGGAAATAGCGGCAAAAATCAAACAAGTGACAGATATTAACAACACTAACGAAAGAACTTATAATTTCTTCGTACTGGAAAATTCTTGAATTTCATTAATCACATGTGAATATATTTTATTGACATATAATTGGTACCAAATTAAATTATAATTTCACCAGCGGTATGGAAGAGTTTTTAGAGCTTCGTTAGGTTAGTTTGGTTATGGTGTCGGCTTGAGAGACAATAGAGCCACTATTTTCTACATCTAGAAAAAAAACATGTTTATGCAACTAAATTAACAGATACGAACGAATATAACTTGCAAATGCATGAATAGACTGATCTATATAATGTCTTATAAAGAGTAGGTCGGAGGGATAGCACTTAAGTCTGTACGTTAGTACAATGTACAAACAGTAGAAGCTCTTTAGGATTTACTAGCCGTTACATTTTTTTCCGTTTCCACATAGAATCAGTAAAAGCTGTTTCGAACCGACACTTCAAACCATGTACAATACCCCACGCATATTCACTTGAAAGAATTTTATGTTCACGCATTCTCGATTTACAGTCATTTTGGTGCATAACTTCGAGGCTTGATGGAAAAAACATTGAATTGTTTGATTTAAAGAGCACCCGATATTAATATAATAGGGCGCGCGGTAACAATACTCGTAAACTCCTTCAAAATATTGTTTAGTGAATTATTAAATCTAATTTTTTCAATATGATATCTATTCATTTCGTAGTTTTATTTTGAACGTTAGTTTCTGCATGGAATTACATTACATACACCTCAGATCTTAATGTAAGGTACAACTTTATCTAGGCGGGGAATTTGATCAACGTTGCCCCGCATGATTTTTCGTATTCGTTTTGCGATTTTAGGTAATTATTTCTTAATTATAAACAGAAGAGAACTGAAAATTAGCAAGAACATTTTAATGTTTTTATAAAAAAATGTTAAATTCAAATATTTGAAACTTGATAAAGGGCAAACAGTTTACTGCGAAAACATAGTGAAAGGATCGACAAATTAAGGAAGAATACAATTAATGTTGAACATAGGAACTAGCAACTTAAAATATGTTTCAGACAATTCATCCAATTACGATAAACATTCACCGTAGTATCAACACCTCCTTATTTCTTGAGGACTGACTATAATCAAAATTGAAATAACGCTGTTAAGGTAAAAAATTCCTCTATTTGCCATTGAATACAGAAATTTTCGAATTTTTAAAGAAAAACTGATAGCTAGATTTGTTCTAAATTTAAATTGCAGCAAAAAAAATAAAATGTGTCCGTTAATAATAATATTCAAATTCATTCGTGAATATCAAGATTCAGATAGCAATAAAACGTGAGTTTTCGAAGAAACTGGAAATTTCTAATACTCGTGTGACAAAGACTGCTTCACTTAAATTCAGTAGATAAATAAAGTTTCACGACCAGCCAAAGCGACACCACCTTTCTTATCCAGGACAATCAGAACTCACCCGGGAATTGCTTCACTTAAGTACCGGACCCGAGACATAATGATCCGAGACATTATGACATTATGACATGATCCGAGACATATCAGGCCCGAGACATTATGATCCTGGGAGTGTCCGTTATAATCAAGTGACCAGCGTTAGAACACAACGTGACATAATTGATATTCGTGACCTATACTCCAAGCCTAATGAATCATACAGACACACCACTTAAACAACCAAAACCTGTTAGTTACACAAGATATTATCAGACTGAAGTGTCCTGAGATTTGTGTGGCGTATGGAGTCATTGTACGTTACAAGACAATGTCGAGGAATCGTGCATTTAACAAGTTACCATCATACGATTACTACTAATCAGAGTTGAGTTCAGACTTGAAGCCTTGATCGAGATCGTTTTTTAGATTTCATGCGTGTGGCTACGGATTAGATATTGTTTAAAGTCAAAATAATCGTTGGATATTCGAAAAATTATGTTCATTAAAAATTTGCCCATTATATAATAATACTTAATCTGGTGGACTCTGCAGAACGCCACATATATCTTTTACAAATTATACGAAACCGAAAGGAGCTTTATGTTCACTCTAATTCATTTCCATACAATTTGATTCAAATTCCAAGATACAGTTCATGAAATATTACAAACAATTACAATCAAGACGAAACACGCAAAAACTTCAAGTGAATTTCGATATTTAAATTGATATATTTATATTGAATACTCATACATTTACCAATTGAAGAGAACTGAATTGCATATTACCAACACTGAAATAATTAGACTCAAGCTTGATATATAGACAATTTTCTAGCAACATAATGACTACACGTACCAGAAGAATCTACTTCATAAATGAGGATAAAATTTAAACGACTCGGACGTTTTTACCGCTCGACACAGAGTTATTAATAAAGAACAAATGATAATTGGGTTTTCCAAGAAAATATTGTATCCGATTCTGAACAGCAAATATTTAGAAAATTAAGAAATTATATGGATAAACAGAGCTAAAATGTACGTCTCTAAAACCGCTCTCTTACAACAATTATGGATTAGGAATATTTTTAATGCAAGTATTTTGAACATTAATTAACACTTGGATCGCTCAACCTTCACCACAGCAGGCTACCATGCAACTCCCATATTCAATGAGAGGTACAGATCTATTGTGAACTTATTAGGTGTCACCCGAAAATTCGCATATTCCTGGGCACTTGTTTAAAGAACTTTGAGCTGCGCTGTTTCTCGACCAAGCCTATATACTTCATGTGACACGTTGTTTTAAAATTTTTTTAGATCGAACCTACGTAAACTGGAGCTTTAAAAGATATATTAAAGGGTTCATTTAAAAAATTTTGTTTTCATAATGAAAAAAGAATTAGTGTAATAAATAACATTTTCAAACTCAACTCATTGAAAACAAAGTTTCTCTATAATGTTAAAAATGTTGAAATAGAATTTAAGGAATATAAGTAGAAGGAATTGATATGAAAGTTATCTAATACTTTAATTTAAATTAAAATTGATACTTTCATGGGTATGTGGAGCCAAATGGGTTGGGTAAATAATTTTACTCATATATTTTTAACTTTAACACATTAAAAAATTTATCAGTTAAAATCAATCGGTCAAATATTATTTAATCATTTAAGTGGTAGATAGCTTTAGTGAAATATATCTATCGGATAGGCTTAACTAATAAACCGTCCATGTGAACAACTTGTACATGTATCAGAATCTTCTCTTCAGTAATCAAGGATGCGCGATATAAATCAGTGTAAAAGCACTGTAGAAAACTTATGTTTTAGGATAAAAAGCAGGAGTAAATTATTAAAAGTAATCAAATATAACAACTTTTACTGCTTTCACCTGCTTTCTGATAACACAGCTTATGTAACCACGACAATTAAATAAGTATAACCATCTATACCATTACCATTTCAGCTAGACAAGCGAAATGTTAAAGTTGCCTTTCTTCTTCCTTCTCTTTCCTGCTAGATAGTTTTATTTTATTATTAAAATAAAACCAAGCATTGGGTCGTCAAGCTCAAGCAAAACTATAATTGACGGTTCCTCATAATTCTAAGTTAGTTTTGCTACAATACAAATTTGATTCGTCGTTCCTTATTTTTACCTAATAATAATATACAATAGTGTTACCCGAGTGACGCGATATATAACTAACACAATCGGAAAAAGAAAACCGTATCACTATCTGTACATATTTCACACTTTACGGCAACAATGTACACAGAATTCTCCTCCAGGCGTATCACAAGGGGCTCTAATCCTATATGTACATCAGCACTATCTACAATTTCTTCTCAGGTATATATTATTCGAGACTGTAATGCATTGTCAGCATTTGCCCATTTTCAATGCAGTAAACTCACTCTCGGCGTTAATGTCTTAAAAAAAGGTATCGAAGAGCAATACATACTCTGGGCTCCAAATTCGGCAAGATGATGTCCTCCCAAGATATGCTCACAGAGGAGTGCATGCCTCGAATGGGAGCGAAGATAATACGTTCCAAGAGGAGTGTTGAAAAACTCTTCATCATTCCTCGATTGGAAGACAAATTCTGCCGCAGGTAAAACATTTGAGAAGTTTGAAGCGAATTATGACAAAATAACAGTCGAATAATAGACAGGCATCATTTTCACAATCAGCAGTTAAATATGTGTATCACTCACTTTTTAAACACCGTGAAAAGTAAACAGACCCACTAACAAGTTTGTTTTCAAACAGCTTTCATTTTCACGAATTAATCAAAGGTTATGTTCACTTCGAGACATTATCAGGATCATAAGTTTACGTTTGGACCAGAAATTCTTGATCTGTGTGGAATGAGTGCCTCCCTTAGCATGGAAATTTGTTCATATTAAAATTCCGTTGCTGCTGCTTGAGAGCATCGGAAATCCAGGCCGCGTGCCAACCACTGCTAGACATGTCTGGCATGGTAGATGTTGGAGCTACTACCGGTGAATTCCTTCCGCAAGATAGTTTCGTAGTGAAACCATTCCAGTGCGATAGGGTTCGGTTATCTGCCATGCTGCCGAGGGAGGTTTCAGCAGCATCGGAGGTTACCGGATAAGTAGGCTCTGACTCGGGCCTGGGGGCTGAACATCAATGGGACGCCGTTAGCGTTGGTGCGGCACTGTGGGTAGGCATTTGTGGGGTCAGAATGGGACCAGGAGGGGAATGCTGAGGAGGTAATGGAGTAGGTGACCCGTGCATATTTTGATGTGCGTAGGCAGCATATTTAAGTTCCCTGGGCATCTCCACCCCCCGTGTTTGACCATAGTCCGAAGCTGTAGAAATTTGTTGATTGGGAATAGTTCCATTGACTGTAGGATGATCCTGCTGTCCACCAAGAACAGGTGGCGTCATCCTCTTTTCTTTCTGCCGTCTGTTGCAAAACCAAACTCGAACTACTTCCTTCTCCAGCTGGAGGGTCTCTGCGAGGTGTGAAATTTCGGGCGCCGCGGGTTTTGGCTGCTTGGTAAAATGCTGCTCCAGAGCCCCTTTGACTGAAACTTCAATTGAAGTTCGCTTTTTCCTTTTTCTGCCTTGAGCCGCGATTTTGTCTATTGAAGTGGGGCTGCCCGTGGTTGAATCTGCTTCATCGAGCCACTTCATCAATAAAGGCTTCAGTTTACACATATTCTTAAAAGATAATTGCAACGCCTCAAACCTGCAGATTGTGGTTTGTGAAAATACGTTACCGTACAGAGTGCCAAGAGCTAATCCGACGTCGGCCTGGGTAAATCCTAATTTGATACGGCGTTGCTTGAAAGATTTTGCAAACTGTTCAAGATCATCAGAAGTGGGAGTTTCTTCTTCGTGTTCGTGATGACCATGGTCCTGCGAAATGGGAGATTCGCAGTGCATATCTCTGAGGTGATGACCAGTGTGCATTTGTGGTGGCAACATACCGGTCATTCCGTAAGCTGCAGGATGATGTGCTAATGGCGATCCTCCATTACTTGAAGTGGCAATACTGTAAGGGGAACTAACTGGCGGCTGCCAACTGTGTGCCATAGGATGCCTGTGATGAATTCCAATATCTGCATGTTGAGGTTTTATATCCTGGTGAAGACCATGTGGATGCATCGCAGATGCCCAATGCGAATGATCAGTAGACGGCAACCCCATCCACGGGTTATGTGGCATTGGAGGTTGAGGCTGGGGCATATATTTCATTTCGTGATGTTCACGACCGTAACCTTGATGATTGACTATATTCATTGCTAGACAGTCTGGAACACCAAGTCCAACAGGATCAGAACACACTGCACTCGACGAGAGGTATGTTGTCGTCGCCATCACACAACTGTACTGAAAACGGTTCGTCGCGGACTTATCGTCGCGACGCCGCCAAACTCGCAACTGAGTGAGCTGAGGTCCCGGTCCGCCTCTACCGCTTTTGAAACTCCTCCCGATGGTCAAAGATATCGTGAGTCAGCGGCCTCTCGGTCCGTATTGGTTCATCCATTTTTGCTATCAGCTCGCCTGCTCTAAACGAGCACTTAAGACAGCAACACTGACTTGTACGAAAAAATAACGTTACAGTGAACACGGAAGATAGTTACGTAATTAATACTTTACAAATTCATATTTTACTATATTCTTTCTTCCATCTTTCTGCTTCTCTAGCTGTTATTATTGCTAAATATTAGATAGAAATTAATTAACAATAAATGATGATTGTCAGGAAATTTCGAAGAAGGGATATGAGTGGGACCTCCCAAAGCTCCACCCTTAAACTCGGACCGCCTCTCGGCTTCCGCTGCCAGAGCTCGATCGAGTCACCTGCTTCCAAGCTCGGCTGCTCCGATCTCCGTCGGCTTGCACCAACTCCACAGGCCAACTCCATCCAAATCGCAAACCTCCCTAAACTTTTGCCCAAACACTTGTGACTCGGTACCATCCAGGTTTTGCTCATAATGCTCAAACTAAATCGTCTACCTCTCGGTTGAAAAAAATCGCGGATGATTTGACTAGATATTTTGCAATTGTTTGAAAATAATTTAATTTGATTATGATTAGTGGCATCAAAATATGCAGCAATTATTGTTCTCACAAAAGGTTTCGATCGACATTTGCCATATTTTATAAATTTCGACCGGATTGGTTCTCCTGCATGGATCCACGTGAGCGTTTAACATATGCTCATTAGGCATTTATAGACTCTACAGTTGAGCTAATCGTATCAATGTACACTATTCATGCAAATCTCGTTTAAAGTTATGAAATTATTACCTTAAACAATTTCGATAAATTGAGAATTTATTGAGTAACGTGAGTGTCTAACATTATTAGCTTATTTTGCATACAGGCTTCTTAATTTTTCTCAATCCCTAGCTGGTTTTAGATTCAATTTTCAAACGCTTTTTATATTTCTGGACTCGCATTCTAATACAGGACGTTTTATTGAAACTTTTCTTCCGAAAAAAATATAAATAAAAACGTTGATGAAAATCCCAACGTCCAATTTGCGTAGATATCCATTTGACGGATAAATGAATTTCAGATTATTGCATATGATGAAGCCGTATATTCTAGCCATTCGACAACAGTGCCATAAATGAGCCATTTCAAAGTCCTAACTATTTCAGGTAGCAGATAAATAGGTCATATAGTAAATATGAATGTCTAAAACCATAGCCGTAGGTTATTTACGATTACATGCAACTAAAAATTGCGACTATTATTATATCAGTTTGAAGTTTTTCGTATGCTCATGCTCGCATCAACATGTGGCTCTAAACGGGAGAAGTAAATAAAAGTAAAGTAATTATAGCGACAATTTCTTTACATTTTCAATGAATGATATTCATGTACTCGAAGTAACGTGCGTGCATGCGTATATAAAAGAATTATAATGATCAACACAACGCGAGGAAAATCATAACAATGTAAAATGAACTGGTCATCAATTGAGGAATATATTGCGACAAAAATTTGATGTAAGTTAAAAAACAATTTGTGTAGTATATCTTTGGAGATAGATAGACATAGTAAATGTATTATTATTATGTCTTATTTTAAAGTCACACATTTATTTTATGTAAGGTTACTCTCTGTGCATAAAAAGTGGAGTCATTGACTCTGAACGAATGATTCATGATTCATTAATTTTTGCTACTGGAGGTTTATTACAATTAAAGATATTTTCAATAATGCAATCAGAATGATATTTTCAAAGCTGCAACCGGAATTCGTAGAAAATTTTGCCAAATTCGAAGCAGCAAGTGAAAAAATTACTGCTTGGAAATTATATGCTTGGCGTACTGCTTATGTTTTATATTAAGTACTGCTTGGAAAATTATATGGTATTAGAAATATTCTTCGCACTCAGATCGACGAACTATATACTTGACAATTTATAGTATGTCTATGGATCCAAAGTTAGGCAAATAATCTGAAAGTATAAATTATGTCATGAAAAAATTTACTTAAGCGTGAAATTATTCTACATGAATGTATATATATGTAGTAAGTGAAGGCACAATATTATACGTGCAACTATATCCGATGTACGCGAATGTTGAATGTTTGAGAGCAGATTTGCTGTAATGATGGTCACGACAATCACACAAGTACCAAGTATTTTATTTATTAATTTACTATTTACAAAAGATCTGAATGAAACGCATATGATTCGCTTGATTTTTTATTGGGATCAAAATCTAATCTATACTACGTATGAATTAGCAATTGCATCTTGAATTATTCACTATTTATTAGTCTCTCTTATTTATAATCAAGATTATTTCGTCATAACTGATGGCCTTTCTAAATTCTTTTGCTATTGAAAATTATTGCATAAATGACGACCTATACACCTTTGACGATGGTAAAATAAACTCTTCTGAATCGATATTAAATATACGGTGTTCAAGTTGATCTGAGAAAAAGAAATGCATAATCAGAAACTACATGATGAGAAAATGCAACATGTCTCTTAAACTTATCTTTCCCGATATTCGAGGATAAGAGTGCTTTCTATTCATGTATTTATTATCACTCCCGGTGAACAATCCTATAATTCGTGCATTATTTACATTTACCACAAAAACAATCATCACCAGTACAAACGCACCCTAATCATAACAAACTCAAAACCAATTGATCATGAACTGCAAACCTTTGTCAAGTAGCGCGCAAGGTTCAGAACTGCTTCTAATTCTTTAATGAAATTCTGGTTGTGATGCAAATGTATGCTTTCATCCGTGACCTTGGAGTGTGTGAGGTGCACAAATGATTAGACACACACTCGACCCCTAATTCTCTCATTTGAATTGCGGATACTACGCACCATTCATGCAATCGTTCAGTTATTAACTATCCTGTCGTGACGTAACACACACCCGTTTGTATAATATAGCTTGGTCGAGTCATGCGATCTCGGGTCTGCAAAAGTGGATAAAGTCTACGCTGCTGCATTGCCATATTTCACTTGCATCAACTGGGTGGAAGTTTAATTTCGCTTGTTTCCAATATGATGGGCGTAGATTTTCCAAGATAACTTTTGGTTTGTTTTTTGCGTTTCATATGTGCCGTTACAACTTTTTATAAAATCGGTAAAATTTCTGAAATATTGGGAGATGAGTTCAGTCTGTGAAGTTGTGTTTTTGAGTATTTTATGCATCATTGAAACTCACGTAACTTTGCAATACATGGCGAAGAATTCCAATATAAATGTGTGAATATTGTGTATGGATTCCAAGTCACAGGACGCCCAAAAATTTCCTGATATACTTATGAATGCATTTGTTCTCTTAGGGATATATATACAGATATAGAGCAACCACACATTCTGGGACAAACCCTAACAATTTCTCATTTGAATAATTATTATGTCGTTCACGTTTCTTGCATATGAATATAGTTGCTGAAACTTAAATTACTCACGATCAGCTGATTAGTTTAAAGAGTTTTACCTTTTTTTATTACTGTATTCTAATCTTTGTGCCCGCGTATCCACACATGTGTATATATAGCGGGCTATTTAGCCTTACAGGAAAAAGCAAACAAACTAGCAGGCACTGGCAATCCTACGACAATTCATGACCAAAACACAAAAATACGAACAAGTCTGCTGGCTGTGATACCGCCGACGCCACCACCGAAAGGGTCTCTTGAAATCGATTGCGATTTCGAATTCCCGGCCTCACTCCGCGAGCGGCGCACGCGGCATACCAATGGCGCGGCCGAGCTGGGGAGAGCAGGTGTATAGCAGTGTGTCGTGTGCCTTATCTTCCCTTACTTATCTACTTATTTATCAAATATATTATTTAACATATACGTCATATATTATACCACATATTTAGTTCGGCTTATCGAAAAAAAAAAAACAATAAGAAGATTGTTAATAAAAAGTACACTCTGGTCTTCTTCAATCAAACCTGTATAAATGAAGAACTTTTGCCTAACTACACTCATATATTATATGTGCACATGCAAATTATCTTTCGTCTTGTTTTGCAGAGTTGTCTATATTTTGTATAAAAACAATGCATATTTCTATGTCATTAGATATAATAAACATTTCAATAGTTTGTGTATATCTAAGAGTAATCGAATTAACGCTTCGTTAGCAAGTAAGAATTGAGGCAACATATGGCAGAAGCCTTGCGCCGCATCCGTAACCATTTTTCCGAAAAGTGTTTATTGAATATCAAATAATATGAGATATAATTAATTAGCTTTTGAGATGATGACGATGCAGATATTTTGGGAATTGAAACGAAGTAAATTCAGTAATAAAGAAGCAAAGAGGGACCGATGCGTGACAATATGGAGTACGAGGTCTTCGATTAGAGTACTAAACTACGAATAGGTGAAGAAAAATAGTATGAAATTGTAGACTGTAAGAAGGCACGAAGAAGAGGATGAAGCCTTAAATATGATACAAAACAAAGTAAATGAAGCATTTGATAAGAGGAAAAAGCCTTAAATACATATGTTAAGAAGCAGAGCATATGAAGCCTTTGATAATAGGATAAATCCTTAAATATGTTACGAAGCACGGTATGAAGACTTTGATAAGCGACGAAGAAGAGTTTGAAGCCATTCACATTTTGGGATCCTGCAAAATTATCCAATTTGCCAATTCAATTGAATTACGTCAAGGAAGCTGTTTACGTCCCGCCTCTACCAGCAACTCTGTTTACGTCCCGCCTCTACCAGCAACTCTGTTTACGTCCCGCCTCTACCAGCAACTCTGGTTGATCCGAAGAACCGTATCACTGCTACGGTGCACTCAGTAACAGAAGATATGCTTAATTTCTCGCGTGGGACGAGTTTGGCTGCCGTTTAGATGTTTGCTCTGCAGCACGAGGGGGACATGTTCAACATTAATAAATATGTAT